CTCATTTGATCTCCAAAATGATAACACCAAATGTGAATAATAATTGACACATTTGGGGGATGAGACTATTGAAGCTCAGAGAAGTTAAGGTCCCAAGGTTATGCAGCGGCAAGCAATCAAGAGCCAGGGTTTAAGTTATCTTCCTTATAACTCAAGTTTTGAATGAACTCTATAAACAAACTAGTGTAGACACAGGAGGAAATATGATCACTGTATCTAATGCTCAAATGTATATCAACAGTCCATCCAAGAGCTCTGCCTGAATGCAAAAGTCTTTGTGGTTTTCTAAATAATTATTAACTTGTATTCAGAAAGTCTATAAAGTATAATGCAGATGCTGAGAGAGGTAAGCTTCTCTCTTTTCTTCCAATCTAATTGAGCCTAAACTATGGATTTACAGGTCAATGTCTTAAATTCCTGAAGGAACTCTAAGCAAGGTCCCCAGTCTCTCTGTCATTGCAGAGACTGATCTCAGTGACAATGGTGGAAACTCTGTTCCGTGGTCCAAGTTGACCGGTGCCTTATTTACTGGCAACATTCTTGACATGCCACCAAATATATTGTCAACATTTAAACCAACTTACCCTTCATGCCACAACCCTTGACCCACACTTCAAATGTTACCTCTCTAAGAAATTTCCCTTGAACCATCAGGAGGGCTATAAAGACATTTTAGTGCTCTCATAGTTCCTTGTAAAATGTGTCTATGTTGTTTTTCTTTGTATGTGTCAGCTATTTCTATAAGGATGTTGCGTAACAAATAACTCCCTGCTATTAATCATCCCACATCACATCAGCCAAGAGTAGTTGAAGCTTCGCAGCTCTGTGTCCTGAGGCTCTGCCCCAGGCTCCTGGTGAGAGTGGATCTTCTCCCTGGGTCTTCTCATTCTGGAGCCTACATTAAAGGAACGGCCATTGCCTGTTTCCTGTGGGAGGAAGTCATGCCAGAGAGATGGGGATGCAAGCTCTAGTTTCAGGATGATAAAAGTGGAGAGAAAATGAGTATCTATGAATAGAGAACTAAATTTACTATTATTTACTTATTACTCCCTTCCACATTGATCAGTTGGGGGCCCAAATACAACACACATTTGTCTTCCTACCTCTTTTCTAGCAAAGCATAGGTATCCAGAGAAGGCTTATTTCACTTAAGTACATCATCAGTTTCATTCATTGCAAAAATGTAATGATACTTTCTGCAATGGTCAAACCACATCAAGACCTACTTTTTCTAACTTCCCTCTTTCACACACACACTCACATTCACACACATGTTACTTTAATAGTATCATTTTAGAGGAGAGGAAGCCAAGACTTAAAGATAGAAGACTTCATCCAATATCTTAAAGCTGACAAGTAACAAGACGATGAACCTACACAGGTTTATCTGACCAAGGGTTTATGAGCTTAACCCTTGAGCTACACTGACCTCATCTTCTTGTCCTTTGCAATACTTGGTGAAGGAAAGGCACACATGTGTACATCTTGATTCTGTGGAGAACACTCAGATGATGTGCCCCCATATTAGAATCAGGAATAGCTATTTCATAGGATTATTCTCTTGCTGGAAGAGGCAAATATGACAATGTAGCATGGAAAGGCATCCTTACTACAGAGGAAAGTGTGTCTAGAAAAACTTGCCAAATTTTTTTATACCATGGCCCTATAGGAAATGATTTTATTTGAGTGACATAGTATGAAAAGCAGTAGGAAATCAGTAGAAAGTTCTAGCTGGAGGTCTCTAGCTCCCACAGACCCCCCTGAGCCACTTGAAGGCACTGGGATGCTCAGCTAAGGACAAATCTATGGGAAGCTCTTCAGAAGCACACATGCTTACTCTAGTCAGAATTATGTGACCAGAGCTAGAAGAGCAGACTCACCCCAATCACAGGCCATGGGATGAAATGCCTCACAGGAACTATTTCTCAAGGGTTGACCAAGCACTTGTAAATATTGGTACATTCAGTTTTCCAACTCCACTGAAAGACATCAGTATTGGCATAAATTTTCATATAATAATCTGGTTTGTGCATCAACCGATATTACAATACAGAGGACCTTGACCATCATTATCCTAATTCCTCACTGCAGAGCCTGAATACCCACATCTGTGTCACTTGTCAGAGTCTGTCACATTCCACAGCACAGTCAAGACACTGAAAGGGCTTATCAGGAGCCAAGGCCTTGCTTCATGTGGGACAGCTTAGCCCTACACCATGCTCTCAATTCAGGATCAATAAATCCAATAGTAATCATTCGGCTTTAAGCTCTCTTAAAAGGATAGATAGCATAAGTAGCTCCCCAAAGAATTCTTACTCAGAAACTGAGCTGTTCACAGATAAATGAGGAAGTGAAAGACAACAAAGCATTGACTTTAAAAATCAGGAAAGAAGAGAAAAAGGAATTGCAGGGGCCTTGGCTATCAGGGCCAATGTCCTTACACTGTCGCAATGTCTCAAGGCCATGGTGATTTCCATAAGTGGCATGTGCCTTATATAAAGTGAGTGTTGAAGAATAAGCAGGTTGTTCTGAACTTATATTACAAAGATTTCTCTTCCTATTTCAAATAAAAGAAACAAAAAAAAATCAACGCAAGACAATCAGAACAAATTTTCCTTCAGAGGTTGAAGGAGAAGGAAGTCACCCTCCTGAAATCCACCAGATGGCTGAGACGTGCTGCGTGCTATTGTTCTAATCACCATAGCAGCCTTGCAGGTCTGTTTCATCGAGGGGGAGACTGAGGTTTAAGGAAGACGGTCTTGCTTACAGTCACATGGGTGAGTTGCAAACCCAGGGGTGCTCTTTTGCAAAACCCTCTGGTGAGATGCTGGACAGTCCTTTCTGCTGAAGCAAGGCAAGTCGGGGGCCAGAACTTTGTAGGTGTTGTGCACACCACCACGACCATCCAGGGTGCTTCCCCACACCTAGCCACTCTGAGCCACCTCCTCTAAAGGGAAACTGGACAGGAAGCAGAGGCTGGGATTCACGCTCCAGCCCATGAGAGTGAGTGGTAGCAGGCAGGCTTGGTACATGAGCTAAATACTGCTTTGTTTTTGTATTGTAAATAAAAACAGCACCTTGCCACAGTTTAGCACTATCTCTTTTAATGGTATCCAGCCCTGAAAGATTTAGTTATTCTGAAACAGTCACTTCTGGGGCTGCCAGAGGGCCTGCTCACCTCTGCAAGCCCCAAATGCAGATGGGGAGCTGGCCTCCCCTCGGGAAATCTTGTTCCACTGTGTATTTGCAGAAAGAGCCCCCATGCCTTTCAAGGTACATTTGCTGGTTTTGCACTGGACTCTTTACTCCAATGTTCTCATGAACTCAGTATGAAAGCCCAGGGAGGCAGTACAGTATCTTTATTCCCATTTCATGGGCAAGAAAGCTCAGTGCCAGAGGGAAACAACTTTGCAAGGCCACCCCATTTGCTGAGATCTGAACACAGGCTTAGTGTCAGACCTTGGCCAGGGGTGCAACATTCATAGTTAATTGTCAAGACCCTAGTGACAGATGTCACTGAAGCTGTCCATAGGAGCTTCAGATTTCTTTGCATCCTCTGAATAATCTGGCAGTTTGAGCTAGCCCCAATATCAGAGAGAAAGAGAGAGAGACCCCAGAGAGACCCACTCGAGATCGCACAGCAGTGGGCAGAACAGGGACACATTTTGAGGGGGTCTAACTCCCATGTAATCACTGAAGTCAGTGTGTGAAGCATTTGCCAGAACAGAATCAAAATTGAATTAGCCGATTGTCAGTGTGAATGCTAGTCGAAGCCACAGTAGTTCCCCCATTTGACAAAAGGGTTTAACCCCTGGTTTGCAAAGCCTTTGTGCTGTTCGAGATGAGACAGTTGGTAACACACGCTTAGAATACAGGTTGTGGGGTATGGTGCCATCTTGCTTAATGCATACATGGTCTAAGCTCCCAGCTCCCAGGAGTAGCCTGGCAAAGACTCGGCTGTTCTTGTACATAGGAGTGAGGTAGCCTCGTGACTCTAAACCTGGACACTATTCTTGAGCTACTGACTGGTCCTCAGCTCCTATCAGAGATAAGTTACACAGCACAAAAGAATATTCATTGCTGGATTATCACAACCAAAGAACCTAAATACCCTATAGATTGTGGTTAGTTAGGTAGATTATGGTACATTCATTCAACTGCATTCCATGAAGTCCCCAAATATGAAATACACTTGCACACACTCACACACACATTCACACAGGCACACACACGCTCACATCCATGGACAAAGAATAGACGGATATCTGTGAGCAACTTAGCAATAGATTCCTATGGAGGATGAGAAGGATTACACACATGTTATGGTGTGTGTGTTGTGTGTGTGCATGTGTGTGTGTGTGTGTGTATGTGTTTACCAAGCTCTTCTCTATTTGTCAAGTTTTCTCGGTTGAGTATGACTGCCTTAGCCGCTGGCAAACCAAGAATGGTGCCTGACCCCCCTGTGGCCCTGTCTGGTCCTGCCCCTGACCATAAGCATTGTTGTAGCACAAGCAAGCACCTGGTCCACCTGTTCTTATGCCCAGCCCAGTGACCTTCAGTCTCTGGTGGTGGTGGATCACAGGTAAGTGGCACCCACTCTTCCTGAAACTAAGACTCAGTCTCATGACAAGACCCAAAGGACACTTGTCCCAAATGTTGGCAAGACGATGGAGAGAAAGCCCCACCATTTCCACTTGGGCTGGGAAGAAGGTGGGGGCCATGTCACTTGCTAGAAAGTGGGCTTTTCCCAAGGACACTGAGGGTGTAGGGGATGTGCCTTTGTTCATTGACACTCTCGATCTTTTGGTTTTCTGCCAGTTCTTTCTAAAACAGAGTTAATTTACTATGTGTAGAATAGGCTCAACCATCCCAAGCAGGAGAGTTTCTGTGTAACATTAACAACAAAATAAAAATCTTTAGCATCCAATTGTAGTGTTCCTGAAATTAACAAAGGCATGCTATGAATGAAGGACTTGAGACATTTGCTTTGTAACCTTTCAAAATGATTTGTCCGGGCCTCCCCTGGTGGCACAGGCAGTTGAGCACCGCACTGTGAAGCTGTCTGCAGCCTCTGCAGTGTCGGTTCGATCCCGGCTGGCCAGAGAGGGTCCCACATGGGCGTGGCAGACCTTTCCTGTCGTGCCTGCTGCTCCCCTCAGCAGTGTAGTTCATCAGTCTGCCTGTTCTGTTCCCTGTTCTGTCTCTGGTGAATCCTCTCACCCTCCTGCGCATCTGGCCTGTACCCGGGTTCTTGTATAAGTAAATACATAAATCTAAAAAAAAATAAAAATGATTTGTTTTATTTTAATATAAATTGTTATATTGTAGTTTTATCTATATAATTGAATATATTTAATTAGTATTTATGGAATATCATGTATAAAAATAGGGATTATACTTAATCAAATTTGTTCTATTTTAAGTTATGCATGCATATATATATATCCATGTACACATGCAAACATTTAATGTGCGTCTATATAAACTAACTGTTCTTCACATGGACATTGGAAGTCAAGTGTCTAGCAACCCCTAACACAGCAGCATTGTGCTCAGGAAATACTGTTCTTGTCAATCCTCACAGCAAAGTCAGGGGGGTAACTGCAGCCACCCCTTGCAAGTGGCTACTGGACTAGAGCGTATTCACCTGGAAGGGTCACCCAGGGGGCCCAAGCTTGACCTGAGCCTATGGTCCTCCAGTTGAATCGAGCTGGATCAAGCTCCCTATGTCTGTCTATTGCTGCAAAGAACCTAGAACCTTCAACTATGCCTGTGGCATCTTGGGACCTCCCAGTGGGAAGTCCTGTAAAGAGTTCCCAGCCTACGTTGCTAGGGAAGGTCTCTCTGGACTTGCTGAGAACGAGTCATGGGTGCCACCTTGCTGGCCATGTGGCACTGGCCTGGCTGCTCATGACAACAGTGTCTGAGGACATTCCCCAACCCCTTCCCCGGGACACAGGCCCTTCCATGTCTGGTTTCATTTCCTTCTCTGTGAATGACTGAGCAAAATCCCTGCTGGTGGTGACACCAAGCTCTGGCCCCTGAGGGTCCTGAGACTTAGAGGTGGTGAGGTCACCCCTGGGGCTGTGGAAGGGGCACCAAGGTCCTCCATGTGCCACACAAGGACCCCCTTTCAGGCTGGGCCTGTTCGTTCAGTTCGGTGTTATTTTGTTTGCTTTTTGAAGAGAGGAGCAGGGCATGTTTTGTTTTGCTTTTTCCCAGATTCAGCTAATGTTGTAAGAATTAGGGCTCATGCTTGGGGTTTCCCTTGCCCTCGGTGGGCAGACGACCCCCTCCACTGCCTGGCCCCGCCACTGCCCTGATCCCGTCCGGGCCTCAGGGAGAAGGGCCACAGGGTGGGGTGAGCCTGGCCGCCAAGTCCTGGGGGGGCCGTTCCTGCCGCCATTCTACGGGGGAATGTATGTCGATCGATGCATTCATTTAGCTCTCCCAGCCTCTCCCTCGGTTAACACCCCAGCACACACAATACCAACGAAGGTGATTATCTCTGCTAGCATAATTCCTCCCTAACATCTGCTTTCGCCCATAACACTCCACTAATTTTTCCCTCATTTCATTACACATAATTTTCTTTCAACACAATCTACATGTATTAAGTGGTAATGACTTTCCAGTTAAGAGCAAATCGACACCAAGGGACCCCCGTCCCCCCCACGGTTGCCTGCAGAGTCTGACTCTGGCTATTAGAGATAAATTCGGTACCTCAGGAAGCTGCAGCGAGGTAATCAATCAATTAAGCGGTTAGGACATACATTATCAAACTTCCCCAGTGCGGGGGGCAGGGGGCCATGCTGATCTCCTGGCCATGATTTTTAGGAATTCAAAAAAAAAAAAATGAATAAATAAGATGGAGAGCTATTATACAGCCAGGCTATAATTTGCCACTCAAAGTCAGGGCTGGTTTTGTCAGATGCAGAGCTGCCAGCGAGCGGGGAGAGGCTCAGGCATGGGCATGCTGTCTGCAACCCTCCAGCTTTGCTGTCTCTCGATGTGTCCTGGGGCACAGGGGTGGGGGGGAGGCTAGGATTCCGAGTCCTGACCTTCAAAAGGGAGAAAGATGCCTGACATTAGAACTCTCACTACTGAGGTCTGCGGTACAATGAAGGGGGATAATGTACTTGGAAATTCTGGGCCCATCACAGGCACTCGCTCCTCTCTGTATACTGTGGACCTAGGAAATGACGCTGGCATCAAATGTAGAGTTAGATACCATCATCACCACCACCACCATTATTATCATCACCATCACCACCATCATCACCCTCACCACCACCATCACCATCATCACTATCATCTGCACTGTCACCGCTGGGTTTAAATTCAGAATATTGGTCACTGCTCTGTGTGTTCCCTTTGTGCCCAAACTTCAGCCACACATCTATCAAATGGGTGTATTAAAGCCTCATTCACTAAAACAAGGTTATTGGAGATGCAAAAGAAACATATTAAGTCATTTTAAAATTGTAAATCATAAGCAAAAGGAGATTTTATTTAATAATTAGCCTACCAGCATTTTTCCAAAGCTTAATCCAGCCTATAAATATTCTATGTGTCTGAAAAATATAATAAATGATACCGACATGGTCCATAAGACAGATTAGCTGCAAACTAGAAGACCAAAAAAGGAACTCTGGGTAAAGATGATAATATAAAAATACAATATGTATAAAACAAATAGAATATTTTCAACATATGGACCAGACAATAGTATGTAAATATGCTTATATGATACATAATATTAAGTTCTTACAAACCAATAAAAAGCAGAAGGGAAAAATAAAGTATGCGTTATAGTAATAATGGTGAACGCTGCTTACTATTTGCCAAGTAGTCCTAGAGGTTTTACACATTTTAATTTATTTAACAAGAAAGGGGGAAAAATCATTTCAATAAAAATGAACCAATATAGAAATAAACATTGAAATAACGTATACACATATTAAATCTCCTTATTGTCAGAGAAATGTAGCATGACATCAAGGAGATCTGGCTTTTCATCTTTCAAATTAACAAGGTTTAAGAAACTGGCTTCTCTGGTGCTGAGACGGCCCGGAAAGAGATGCTTGCGCACTGCTCTTGGGATGGAAATGGAAATAAAATAATAGGCACAGGCTACTTTTCTGGGGCGGCAAATTGCCAAAGTATCAAGAGTCTTACTTACCATATCCCTTCTCATTGCCCCATTGGTTCTAATTCTCTGGGCTTTATCCTTAAAAAAAAATCCGAGACTCTAAGGTGTCATCCGGAGCGAGGATGTTCATCACGCTGTTGTTTATAAGAGCAAAGCACTGGGTGCTGGAGCTGCCCCGGGAGACTGGCCATTGCGCCACAGCTTTTACCCAGGCAGCACCCACCAGGCACGGCTCCGAGTCCAGGACCCCTGTGGTGGGTGGACGACAGGACCCCAGTCCAGGGGCCTCCCAGGACAGCAGGAGCTCTGAACCGCAGGGACTGTGATGTGAACGCAGGACCAGGGTCACACATGCTGATCTGGGAGGCTGCATTGAGGTCTGTTGCACCTCTGAGCTTTGCAGCTTCTTGCAAGAGAACCCAGGGCCGTGTCCACTGAGCTTACACTCTCATGGCTGGGGGGGGAGTTGGGGGGGTGGGGGTGGGAAAAGCAGAACTAAACAGTCTGCTGTAGAAATGCATTTCATGATGTGGGGGAAAAGTCACAAGAAATGAAATGTTCTATGCCCGAACACATTGTGAAGGCGTTTGTGTCAATAAGCAAAGAAATCCATGTTTCTAAAATACTAGGATGTACACTAATGTCTAGGCAGTAATGTCTGCAGAGAGGCTGCTCTCTAATTTCTCTGCATTTGTTATTTTTTAAATGCAACAGAGTTGTCTTTATTGTTATTATTATTTTTTAATTTGAACAAAGACCACTGATGTACATCCTAGTCCTTGCTTATTTACTTCATTTTTCAAAACTCAGTTGATTTCTAGATCATGGCATCATTAAGATTTGGTTTAATATCTAAGATAATACTGGGAAATACCAAACAACATTTCCAAATGTTGTTTATCCCAAGTGAGAGTGCAATCCGAAGTAGATAGGAGCAAAGACCTTGGGCATGACCTCCGGCCTGGTGCTCTTCACAAATGGAGCAAATCCAAGGCCCCAGGTAGCAGCTTACCTGAGAGCAGGAGGGTGAACCCCTTTAGTTCACACTGACTTCCCTGCATGGTGTTTTCATGGACCATCTAACCAGCTCCCCCGCTGGACCCCCAATTCCATTCACGCCCATATTGATCAAAAGGTGATTCTGGAAAGTGGTCGATAAGTCTCCAGTTACCTGAAAAGCGGTGAGTTAGAAGATACCGTCATCCACATCAATGATACTAGCATAATGATACAGGGAACTAGTAAGATGGAGCCAGAGAAACCTGACAGTTTGGAGACGCCATCCCAGGCCCGCCTCTGGGACCACATGGTGTGGGCCTCACGCTCGCTTGCTGGTCAGTGCGTGGACAGTCCTGGCTCACCTCAGTCACATCTTAGAATGGAGCAAAACCAGAACCAGCTCTGATAGCCAGTCCATTGTTCTCTCCTGCAGGAAGACATGGGTAAAGGTTTCTTACAGTAGGTTTTGGACTCAAAAACATTTTATCAGACATTTGGAGAGGTGGCACAAAATCAAATCAAGGGGTTATTAGGTTGCTTTGTTTTTCTTTTTAACAAACCCAATTAAATCCATTGGAAAATCCACAAAATCCATCCATCTGCCTTGTCTGTCTTCGAACCCTTCACCTTGTTTGGTGTTTGGAGCAAAACCTCCTTACTCAGCCAGGTTCTCTTGCCAAGCAGGATTTTAAATTTTAAAGAAGCAAATTTGAACAGGACAATGTGGGAGCTCCCGAGAACAGTAGTCTGAGAAAAAACAAAGCATTTGTTTATTTAGCCATTTGTATGAAGACAAAAGTGGAAACACTGAGCAGAACAAATCAGGAGAGGCTTGGGCTGCTTCCTCTGAGACTGTCGGAGCGGGCAGGACAGAACGTGAACTGAACTTGCCAGATGCCTCTGATGCAGCCACGATTTTCACCGGGCGCTGGTTCGGTTCTGGTTCTCTCTCTCTCCCTTCCACCTCCCTCCCTCCGTCCTTCCTGCTTTCATAGAAGCTAAAAACCCCAACACTCTCTGCAGCTGGAAAATACATTCCTATGCAGAGTGATTAAAAACAGTTCTGACACAAACACCCCCCGCCCCACAGGGCTCGCGGGTCTTCACGTCTTGTCTGGACTTTCTCCTCAACGGGGCTCAGTGTCACGGACATATCAGAGGGGTGTTTGGTCTGGATGGCCAGAACCAGGCGTTCCTTTCCTCCCGTCCTGTCCTTCCACTTTAACTACTCTTTTTCTTGCCCCCTCCCCGCCCCTCCGCGCCACAAGATGTCTGGCACCCAAAGTCTGGCATGAAATCTTACGGATCTACATTTTCCGCAGGGCTGTCACAGCAGGTTTCGACTTGACTTGCCGTCCCAGGGAACGTGAAGTTTCATTTGTTTGTTTCCGAGGACAAGGACGGTTGTAGCTCCTGCTGCTGAAAAGGGACATCTTTCTATTTGATTGGATTTTTTCTAAAGAGAGGATGAATTCATCTGTCAAGGATTATTTAAGAAGAATATTTTTTGTTTTGTGATGCATTGGAAAGCACTTCCCCCCTATGCTAGTCATCCGTGGTTTTGTTGTTTTAAAGTCACTGTTAGCCTTGAGAAAATCCATTGTAAGGAACCTGTTCTCTGCATCCTAAACTGCCAGCAAGAGAAGGATGTGGAGAATGGCCTTGTGGGAAAACGCCGGTGCGCTCCTTGTTTACACCGTGGTTCTGTTTTGTTGCAGCTGGGGAAACTGAGGCCAGAAAAGAAAAAGGATTTGCTCAAGGTCAGAGCTCACTCCCGACAAGCTGGGAACCTCTGAACTTGAGTCAGGGTATCTGGAGACCTCGGATCATTGGCATCACTGACGTGATCTTAACGATGCTGTGACACAGCGATTTAGCTGTCGCTTTCCTCGTTCTTTTATATCACGGCGATAGAGACTTCAGAAAGCGTAGACTCTCTTTGTGGACTGAAACATGCTACTACTGTTGGAGTCTCTCGTAAACGTCTATAAAATGTCTCCCCTCGCTCTTCCTATTTTAAGTGGTATCATATGCTTTTGTTGATGTTTGAGTTAGAGGAGGCTACTGTTTTTAGTCACGTATGAGTTCTATACGCAGCACTGCTCGTAAGAAGAAGGCAACATGGATGGATGAACGGATGAACGGGTGAATGGGTAGCTAAATGGCTAGAGAACATTCATGAGGAAATAAACACATACATAGTCACATGTACAATTTGTTTTATAATAAGTCACAATGTTTTTGCAGAGATCAAATGCAGAGGTGCCACGCACGGGCGTCTGGTTACCCTCCTCAGGACAGAGCTGACCGCGCCTTTCCAACGGCGGGACCCCATTCCGGAGAAGATGCAGCTGAGAACATCTGTAGAACAAATACCTGCGCCGCCCTGAAGGGGCTCAGCGGCACAGACACACGCTCCCAGGGTCCACAGAACTTTCTCTGCTCATTGAACCAACAGTCCTGGCCTGCCTTGAGTCCGGGTCTCCCCACTCCTCTCCTGTCTCAGCGCTGGGGAACCCCAGCTTAAGCCGTGGTCCGGGGCCTGGGAATCGCACCCCCTTCTCTGAAAGGTTTACCAGGATCTTCCTCCAGGTCCGCCGCCCTCCCCATTTCCTTTCTTCCTTTCTGTGTCTCTCTTCCCTGCCCCTCTCTCTGGTGTGTTTCCTGCAGCTGCCAGGAAGCCCACCTCATCCCTGCTCTCTCCTCGGTTCATCTGCACCTCTCTACTCCAATAAACCGTTTGCATTCCATCTGGCGAGCACTTGCTCCGAAGACATTTCCCTGTCAATCTCTCCCGCCACATTAAAAATCTGTCATTACGATTGCATCGCCGCCTGGCTCCTGAGATTTCTGACTGCTTTATTGCTCTCCTCATTTTTTTCTTTTCCGTGCTACAGCCGAGAAGCAGAAATAAAGGTTTGTTGTTGAAACATGGCCGGGAGGAAAGTAGGAGGCACACATCTGTCAAGGTATTACCTTTCTTCAACCAGGGATTAAGGTGTTTTACGGCGCTCGCTACCGAGCATCACACTGAATAAATTTTCTCAGTAGAACATAAAAATGAACTCATACATTTTGAACCAAGTTTCCTTCTTTCCAGTCGACCCAGATCATTATGCAGCAGCTCCAGCCTGGGGGAGGGGGGTGGCAAGTCAGGAAGAGCCCACCCCACTTCCCACCCTTCCCACCTCCCCCCAAAGCTGCATTATTTAAATTCCAATTGAGGCAAGGGAAGCATCTGGATTAGGGCAGATACTGGTTGTGACTGCTCAGCCTTCCTTGCCTTGAGGGAGAGGGTGGAAAGTTCTAGAAGGGACCACGATCCTTTTGCTCAGGCCTGGCAGAGCCTTGCTTTTCCCTGAAGCGTCCAGTGGAAGCACTTTCCTTGGGGAGGGCCCCTTGCTTTCTCCTGCTGCCTCCCCACTCCGGGGCTGGTCTGGGGCTGCTAGTGCAGGGGCGCATGTCCCCCAGTGCCTGTGCACACCCCATTGGACAGCACCCACATGACACCGTGGTAGTTTCTCCCGCTCGCGCTGTGCATTCTAAGCTGTGTGCCCGCGTGAGGCCACCACCTTCCCAGGGATCCCTCTTTCACTGTGGACTGTTCATGTTCTCACTGTACAGAGGAGCCAGTGGGCAGAAGGAGGGCTGAGCGCCTTGTCAAGGGTCAGATGGATGCAGCCACGGGTCTGGGTCCCAGCCTACTGCAGTCAGGTTGGTTCTTTGGAGGGTGGGAGGGCACAGGAGGAGCAGAGCAGAGCAAGCTTGGAAACAACTGTTGGCTCAGGACCCTAGGGATGAGCAGTGGTGTAGACTGTCAGGCCCTGGTGCTTGACACATCTCTGCAAGGCCATAGTCTCATCGGAGTTGCAGTGGCTCCTGCATCTGCAAACCCCAGGATTGGTACCCAGACTTTGGTCCCAACCATACCCCCCACCACACACACACACATTTTTTGTTTCCCCTACAAACCTCTGCCTACTTGGAAGTTCCAGCTACTTGGAATGCTCTTATTCTCTCTCTGTCTGTTAATTCCTATTCTCCCTTCAAAATGTTTACCTCTCCATGCAATCTGCATCGACCTCTCAAGAAGCATTAGAAACCCCCAACACTTCTCCAAAATGGCGCTCAGTGAGCTTTTATTATACACCTCCTGTTTGCATGCCAGCCCCCAAAAACTGTCAGCCACTCCACCTTTCCTGAGCTCTTACTGCACATACTGAGTCCTCAGTCATTCTTGCAACCACCCTAAATGACATTTATGCCCTTACTCCCCAAATGAAGGGGAGGAAGACCTTCTGTGTGCCTCCATGCACCTTGTCGTTGGTTCTAAACAGACCCCATTATTCTCCAGAAGACCTAACTAGGTTGGCTGTGCAGAGAAGGCCCCTGGTGAGTGGGGCAGCGTGGAGGGGGCATGCTGATCCCAGCTGCCCTGACCTGGCTGCAGCCCACCCTTCCCAGAGGCTATTCCCTTTGCTGTTCCTGGTTTGATAAAACTAAATGCAGGACTTAATATTTTCAGGGGAGAATACTTGCAATATAGTCAAAAGGGTGATCTTGCTGGGTATCAAGAATCCTTAGTGAAAAAGTCCTCTTTTAGAGAAATCAACAGGGGAGATGGATAGCAGTTGACCGGGTGGGAGGTGCATGTCACTTGTGACATGAAGACTTTGATTCTTAACACAGTGAGGGCAGTTCAGATTAAAATAGCACTGAGGTCAACTCACTTAGAATGGAGAATGCCATCGAGTTTGAAAAGTGTTGGAAGGGGAAGACATCTTGCCATAGGAGAGTTTAAATTTGCCCAACCTTTCCGAAGGGTGCTATATTAATACGATTAAAAGTGTGCAGACTTTTGGTCTTCATTCTACTTATATTTTCACACCCATCTATACTCAAAATATCTAGAAAGATGTTTAGTGAAGCTTCTATTACAATGGGGACAGTCTGCAACAAGCTGAATGCTCAGCTAAACAGAAGCCGCTAACTGTGCGAAAATCCTTTCATGCAAAAGAACTGTGCAGTCAGGAAAATATGGGGGTGCTCTCAATGCTCTGATCCAGAATGGTCACCAAATCATCCTTAATTAAATGGAAAAACAAGAGGCAGGACAGCATATCACACCAAGAAGAGACAAACACACCATCCTCACAATGGATCAGCTATTTCTGGAAAGATAAATATAAATAATCAATGATGGTCTCCTTGAGGCAAAAGAAGACTCTTCCTTATACGTCTTTTTTATATAATTTGAAGTTTTAGAAATGCACATATATCATTCACAATGAATCATGATTTATTTCAATCTCTAGTGCCCTAGTAAATCCTAGGGGCCGTTCTAAAGGAATAGTGAGGTGTAGAGCCCCTGGCCTTGGCCTAGGGGTGGGCATGGGCACCATGGACACACCATAGGCTGGGAGAGGT